GGGATTAAATGCAGTGTGCATTTAATATTTCAAGAGGAGTAATGAAGGAAGAATATCAAGTAATAAATAATAATAAATGGTATTAACGTAAATAAGGGGAATAATTCACCTAATATTGAATGAGGTGGATGATTCTTCTTTCTGATAGTGATGAGTGATAGACAAAACCTAGAATATTGAAACTTTTTTCGGATCTGATGAAAAAGTACGGAACAATGGATGGTAGAATCTTATTAGAAATGTAGTGTTTGTATCTTTTCTACAGAGAGTCTTCTTCTCAAAAAGTGCTCTTATAAGAAAATATTACATGCCCTTTCCCCTTATCTCTTTTTCTATTTATATGGGGCATATCCCCAGTCAACCCTAAAAATACCAATACATAGTATATTTAGTGGAATATTTCCTTAAATATCCTATTACAAAAACTAGCCGTTAGTACCATCCTTGATACTTGATCTTGGCCGTTATTGACCGCCGGGATACAAGCCCCGTTGTCTACTAGTCGACCTCGGCCACATCACTTTCCATAATACCACTTCATGCTAAATCTTATTGAGGCAGATTTTGACCTATACAGTTAGTCCCTCCGCTTATTGATGTCGATCCTGTGCGACCTCGATGAGCGGACTCTGTTAGTTATGGTTGAGAAGTTTAGATGAGCAGGTCGAGTAGTAGCGTTTCAGACGGGGTGAAAACTGTAACGAACCAACCGGTCATTTTGAGCCCTAGCGCGTCGTTCGGAGGTTTGAGGCCTTGAGTAGCTTCACTTCAGGTATTATAACTTGTACGTGTGGTCGGAATTGAATTTCGGAAAAATCCGTAGTTGATTTAGAAAGAAAATTCTCATTTCGGAAACTTTAAGTTGGAAGAATTTACTAAGGTGTGATTTTTAAGTAAACGACCTTGGAATCGAGATTCGAAGGTTCCAACAGGTTCGTATGATGATTTTGGACTTGGGCGTATGCCCAGATCGAGTTTTGAATGACCCGGGAGCATTTCGGCGCCTATTGTGAAAAGTTGGCATTTTGGAAGGATTTCATAAATTTGGGTTGAAGAGCATTTCAATGTTATCGATGTCCGATTGGGATTCCGAGCCTGGGAATAGCTCCGTACGGTGATTCTGGATTTAGGGGCGCATCCGGAAGTGGATTTGGAGGTTCGTAGGTCGTTTCGGGGTCTTTTGGCGAAAAATGAAAATTTGAAGGTTTTTAGAAAGTTTGACTTGGAGTGAATTTTTTGATATTGGGGTCGGATTCCGATTCTAGAAGTTGGAGTAGGTCCGTAATTTCAATCATGACTTGTGTGCAAAATTTGAGGTCAATCGGACGTGATTTGATAGGTTTCGGCATCGATTGTAGAAGTTGAAGTTTCAAAGTTCGTTAAGTTTGAATTGGAGGGTGATTCGTGTTTTAAGCGTTGTTTGATGTGATTTAAAGGCTCGACTAAGTTCGTATGATGTCTTAGGACTTGTTGGTATGTTTGGTTGGGGCCTCGGGAGCCTCGGGTGGATTCCGGACGGTTAACGGATAGAGAGTTGTATTTGGAGGAAATGCTGAGGCTGCTGTCTTCTGGTGTAGCCAAACCTGCGAGGTTAGGGTCGCAGGTGCGGAGCCGCAGAAGCGGCCATGAGGGTCGCAGAAGCGGAGGCTGGCCAAAAGGCCTAGGCCGCAGAAGCGGGCATAAACGCACAGGTGCGCGAGCGCAGAAGCGCTTGGTGACCGCAGAAGCGGACGCGCAGATGCGCTACATGGGGCGCAGATGCGGGGACTGTTGGGCCGAGCTGGAGCCGCACCTACGATGGAATTTACGCAGGTGCGGAGCCGCAGAAGTGGCTATTTGACCGCAGGTGCGAAAGTCTAACTGGGTAGTATGTTTCTTTAAAACGAGGGTTTGGCTTAATTTCATTTCATTTCATCCATGGGAGCCGATTTTGGAGTACTTTTGGAGTGCCATCTTCATCAACTATAATGGGGTAAGTGATTTTTTCACATTGTGAGTTAGATACATGATTTTTATATGGATTCAAGCATGAAAATTCGTAGAAATTTGGGATTTTGAAGAAATTCCTAGAAATTGGTAATTTTTGATTTTGACCACGAATTTGGGCATGGAATTGAGAATGAATCATATCTTTGAGTTCGTAATGTTATGGTTAATATTTATCTTCGAAAATATTCAGAATTCGAGCACGTGGGCCCGAGGGTTGTTCTATCGATTTTTCAAGCGGAGTTGAAAATTGTTATAAATTGATTAATTATGAGTATTGGAGTATATTTTGATTGGGTTGCATCTTATTTGTCTAGCTTCGATCGTTTGGCACCGAGTTGAGGATTTAAAGCACAATTTTGAAGAGGAAAGTAAGTTTTGAGATGAGGTAAGTCTCCTGCCTAACTCCGTGAGGGGGGAAACTACCCCTAGGTGATGTATTTAATGTGTGCAACTTGTTGCGGGGATTACGACGCACGAGGTGACGAGAGTCCGTATGTAGTTAGATTCATATTATTGTCCGGGTAGACGTAGGTTCACATCATGCTATAGCTGTACTATTTGAGCTGTCTCTCGCCTATTTAATTCCTCTGTTTTACATTACTACTTGAGACTAGAATTGCTTTTGTAGAGACTTCACGAGTTCATGATTAGTCACTGAATAATGTTACTCCTCTTACGACATGTTTCCGGGATATATATACATATATATTTCATTGAAAGGTTTTTATTAAAGAAATTACAACTCACACGTTTATTCGTGAATGGGGTCAAGGACCCGTAAAAGCTTCTTATTCTTATAGGATCGGGTCGTTTGCCTCGGCAGGATTATGTATTTCACTCTTATGGGATCAGGCCGTTTGCCTTGGTAGGATTTATGTACCACACTCTCATGGGAGCGGCAGGGGCGGATCTAGCTCTATGGATACGGGTTCAATTGAACCCATAACTTTCGACAAAACCCGAGAATATACTGTGCAAAGTTACTGAAATATGATCATATATTAGTGTTTGAACCCATAGACTAAATGAGGCTATGGGTTTAGTGGTAAAACTGATGGGCAAAGTTCCACTTATTGCAAGAAGACTGGAGTTCGAATCTCTGTGTACACAACTTTTATTGCAATTTTATTTGAGTTACTGATTGACTTCTTTGTTACTTATGAGCTTTTTTTGCCCCTTCCCATTTAAAGAGGTCCGTTTCTTATCCTTAAAAGATGAGGACCCACCTAATTAATTTTATTCTTTAATGTGTACTTCATTAACTTGTGGGGCTTTTTAATAATTATAAAAAAGTTGGTCTTCACAAAACTTTAAGAGATCAAAACCTTCCACTTTTCAGAAGGTTCATCGGTTCCCAAATTTTTAAAGCTAAGGTTTCAAAAGAATCAAAGCGAAGGCTCTTCTTCAGTTCTTCTTGGACATAAACTGCAATCAATCCTCTTCTTTAGTTTTTTTGGTATGCCTCTATTGCTCTTTCTCAATAATAATGCAATAATACTTATTAATTATAAGTTACAAGATTTGCCACTACTGTTCTTGGTTCTTGCATTTTGGTTCCATATAAGAAACGGGTCAAATGTTTTACTCTATTACTTCACTAATTAAAGACTTTCTTTTGGATTCATTTATTTTAACTGTTAAACTCATGTTTAGCTCACATATAGTGAATTTTAGTGATAAACTGCTATGATTTGTTTTGTGCTTCAACATTTGAGTTTTAAGGATAAATTTAACTTTTTATATCATATTAATTACTAGTCAATCATTTCCTAAACTAATCTTACTTTTAGGCCTAGGGAATAACTCCATTCTTGTTGTGCTGAAGAAATTAGATATTGTATCATATTAACTCCAACTTCATAAGTACTTAAGTTGTTGAAATATCGATTTGGTTGGATTAAGTTTCAATTACACCTTGAAGTGTAATTTATTTTTTGTGATTTTTAGGATCTTTTTAGTGAGGGTGGATATGATCACAAAATTTTTCAAGGCTATTCCAGCTCCTCAAAGTTCTGGTTCTGGTTCTAGTCCTCCTACGCCGAGTTCTTCTCCATGTCCAATTATTCATGACAATATCAATCCTTCGGCAGTATCAAACAAAGAGAAAATGTTGAATTTGAATCTTGAACCTGATCCCGCAGAAAGAAAGCAAATTTCAGAGTATCCTCCGAATGTACGTGACCGAGTGAGAAGATATTATATTCAACAAGGACCTTGTCAACCTCGTAATTGTAGTTTTCCAAAAAGAGATTTTGGTGGATTTATGCGTCAATTTAATCTTGAATGGTTTAACACTTCATATTCTGGATGGTTAGAATATAGTATTAAAGTTGATGCAGCATTTTGCTTATGTTGTTACTTGTTTAAAAATGAGCATGGAGGACATGGAAAAGTTAGGGATTCTTTCACAAAGAGTGGTTTTAGAGCTTGGAATAAAGCTACATAAAGGCTTAACGCACATATTGGAGAGGTGAATAGTCTTCACAATAGATATTTTATGATGATGAGATATTTAATTAATCAAGAACAATCAATTCTAACCTCTTTTGACAAGCAGTCTGAAAAAATTAAAAGTGATTATCGAGTTCGGTTGAATGCTTCGATTGATGTGGCAAAATTTCTTTTAAAACAAGGAATGTCTTTCCGGGGCCACGATGAAGGTGAAACTTCTACTAAAAGAGAAAACTTTGTAGAACTCTTACAATGGTATGCAGATAGGGATGATGAAGTGAAAAAAGTTGTGCTACAAAGTGCTCCACAAAATAACATGATGATTGCTCCAAATATCCAAAAAGAGATCGTGAATGCTTGTGCGAAAGAAATAATTAAAGCAATAGTTGAAGATTTAAATGGATATTATTTTGGAAATTTGGTTGATGAATCTAAGGACGTCTCTCATAAGGAACAAATGGCTCTTGTTCTGCGGTAAATCAACAAAGAGGAAAAACTTATTGAGCGATTCCTTAGTATTGTTCATGTTAAAAAAACAACTTCATCGTCATTACAAAAAGCAATATATGATTTGCTTTTAGAGCACTCATTGAGTCCATCTCAAATACGGGGACAAGGTTATGATGGAGCTAGTAACATGCAAGGAGAAATTAATGGTCTTAAAACTTTAATTCTGAAAGATAATCCTTCGGCATATTGTATACATTGCTTTGCCCATCAATTACAATTGACTCTTGTAGCCGTTACAAAAAAACATTGTGATGTAGATCAATTTTTTGATATTGTTGCTAATGTCTTGAATATTGTTGGAAGTTCTTTTAAGCGTAGGAATATGCTACGAGAGGATCATGCAAAAAAACTAGAGGAGCTACAAGTGCTTGGTGAAGTTCATACAGGAAGTGGACTAAATCAAGAACTTGGACTCCAAAGGCCAGGTGATACCCGATGGGGTTCTCATTTTAAGACAGTGCGTAACTTTATTGCATTATTCTCGTCAATCATTAATGTACTTGAGTTTCTTGCAAGTGAGGGTGCAAATTATCTTGAGAGATCAGTGGCAAAAAGTCTAGTGAATGACATAAGATCTTTTGAGTTTGTGCATATGATGCATTTGATGTTAAAATTATTAGCAATCACAAATGATTTGAATATAGCTTTGCAAAGAAAAGATCAGGATATTGTAAATGCTATAAAGCTTGTTGGTTTCGCCAAGAGGCAATTGCAAGTGATGAGAGAATCTAAATGGGAATCTTTGATAGATGACGCCTCTTCATTTTGTTCCAAGCATGATATTGTGATCCCTGAAATGGATAAGAACTATCATCTTGGAAAGTCAAAGCGTAGGAGTTCAAGTGTTGCATATTCTCATCATTTGCGTGTCGAAGTTTTAAATACTATTATTGATTTGCAACTTTCGGAGCTTAACAGTCGTTTTGATGCGGTGAATATTAATCTACTTCTTGGTATGGCTAGTTTGAGTCCGGATAATTCTTTTGCAAATTATGATAAAGACAGAATTATGAAACTTGCTACACTTTATCCTCATGAGTTTAGTTCAGTTACGAGCTTGACAACTATATTCTCTTTATGAAAGAAGACAATGATTTCTCTAACTTGAAAGGACTTGGAGATCTTTCAGAAACATTATTTGAAACAGATTTGTACAAGACTTGGAGACTTGTGTTTTTACTTGTGAAGTTAAGTCTGATATTGCATGTCGCTACTGCAACAGTAGAAAGAGCTTTTTCTTCAATGAAGTACATCAAAAATGACTTGCGTAGCAGAATTGGTGATGAATTTTTGAATGACTATTTAGTTTGTTATATAGAAGATGAAGTATTTGAAAGTGTACCTAATGATGCGATTATTGATTGTTTTCAAAACATGACAACCCATCGGGTACAATTGTAATGGTGATATTTATTGAATATATATTATGTTAGATGGTTCGGTACTTGTTACATATATATTAAATATCATTGTTCGTATTTCATTCGGTTATTATTGTATAGTACCTTGAGGTATATACTAGAGTCTAAATCTTGAACCCATAAAGTTAAATTTCTGGATCCGCCTCTGGGGAGCGGGCCATTCGCCTCGGTAGTTTAATAAATGCATCTATGGTTCGTGCCGTTCGACCCTCGGCAGTGCACAATTTAAATATTTATGTTGGATCGGACTGTACGCCTCGGCATTTCCTATATCATATCCTCATGGAATCGTGCGTAATATTTGGCAAGAAGCCAGGGTATCTGTAAATTTTTCCCCTAATTCGAATTATAACAACCTGCTTTTGAAATCCAGTATACACATATATATGCTCCGGTTGAGGAGGAATTTTCTAATTAAGATCTTGAGTTTATTGTAAGGAGGATAATTGTACCACATATTCACACTTGTTTATTTCATTTATTTACTTTGCCTCGTATTTGCTCACCTCCTTACTGTACTTGATATTATTGGACCACTAGTGAGTGTCGATGTCGACCCCTCGTCACTACTTCTCCGGGGTTAGGCTAGATACTTACTGGGTACACGTGGATTTACGTACTCATACTACACTTGTTGCACATATTTGTACAGGTACATATGTGACTGGTGGCCTTGTGAGAGTAGAGGCATGTATGCATGCGGGGACTTACGTGAGCTGCATTTCATATTACGACCCGCAACCGGCAGAGTCTCCTACAGAGTATTTATATTTTTCCTATCCAAATTTGTATTTCGGACAGATTTTGTATTTTATTTTACATTCCTAGTTGATGCTCATGCACTTGTGACACCGGGTTTTGGGGTGATTATGGGTTGTCCTGTACTGAAATTGTTAAAAATATTATTATTTACTCTGTAAATTCCATATTTTACTGTCTAATCGAAGGAAATATGATTTCAAAAATATTAAAATGAGAACCAAATTAAATAATTATTTTTGGCTTGCCTGATGGCGGTGTCCGATGCCATCACGACCTTTAATGGATTTTGGGTCGTGACAATATGGTATTAGAGCGCTAGATTCAATTAGGTCTCACGAGTCATGGGCGAGTGTAGTAGAGTCTTGCGGATAGGTACGGAGACGTCTGTACTTATCTTCGAGAGGCTACAACGCTGTTAGGAGCACTTCCCTTATTGATTCCTCATCGTGCGAATTGATTCTTTTGAGGCTTGTACCTTTATTTATTTCATATTCAATCTTATGCAATGTGAAGTGCTTGTTATAGATTGTGAATCGAGAAATTGTCATGGTACTACAGAGGTGTTGCAGGATGTCTCTGCCTGTGTGTTTGATTGGGCTATTATCGTCGCCTTGCGGAAGGCCGTCCTGTCATTTCAACTCAGCATCAATATTTCTTATGGTTTTGAGATTTGGCATTGATTGTTATGACGATTCATGCATTGCTATCACACCGTGTTTGTGTAATGGTAGGATGCCTGTCTATGCGTCGAGGCAATGAATGACTTGAAAGGAGGTTTTACTCAGTGCATGATTCAAAAGTTCAGCATTTTATTTCCGACGGAGGAAAAGGCAATCGAAATAGGGATGTTTAGATTTGGGTTGATGGAATAACGAGACTTGGTATTTTCGAGCACGGTAGAGTTCTCAATTGTGATGTGGTGTCATCGTCCTTTTTGAATACGTTAAGGTTCGCCGATGTTATGGTCTTCTTCAATTTGCCTTCGGGGCAGGGTGTTGTGAAATGGTGCCTGAGATGCGGTTGTCAGAGATACATGAGTGTAGCAATTTCGGAACCGAATGGGTACTTCTAGTGTTGATGTCTCAAGAAAGATGATCTTCTAAGAGGTTTAGAGTTGGTGGCGACTCATGTGTTCGGATGTTACAGAGATGGACTTGGGTTTGGAGCAATAATTGGGCAATGAAGGACGAGGAAGGACATGTGGGAGGTGTCTTGCGGTGGTTGAATTATTAGGAGGTCGAGTGTGAAAAGTAGAAGTCGAGGAGTTGCTTAAAGGAGAGGGTTTGACCAAAGTGGGAGAGTGGCAGAGTAGCATATGGGTTCTGTGGTAGGATATCCACACGCCTTGAGGGAAGCTTAGAGCAATTTGGGAATCGTGATGGGCAGTGACTAGGACCATGGATTTTATTTAGATGCAACATGACTTCGAGTTTGGAATGCGTTGTTAGACTTTTAGCTGATGTCAATAGGGTAGAAGGAAGCTCGGCGGGTTCCAGGGTTATGTAATTGTAGCTTCAAGCTAAGTGGGGGAGCCTCACCGTCTATGATTGGGTTGCGTAGTTGTCAACTTGTGCGGTTTTTGGTTATCGGTGTATTGATGTGCTATTACGACTAAGGAAAGAAAACATCTGTGGTAACTTGAGCAAAGGGTTTGAGGAATGTGTGCTATCTTTGGCCTTATCGGTTCATGTTCAGGTCTTGGGTTGACTTAGAGTCTATGCTTTGTGTGGATGTAATGGTATAAGGAAAGGAATTCAGCCGGTTGCTTCTTTGAGAGGGTGTTCATGTACTAGCAGGGCCTTGTAGTTGGACTATATTAGGGGACAAGTCCGAGTGGGTGACTCTCAACAATGGTCTTAGTAGGTTCAAAATTTAAGGTACGGTGCCTAAGGATTTCGAGTCTGTGGTATGGTTAAGTATCGAGTTTTGGCAGTGGATTATGAAAAAGGGGACTTGGAATGTTCTATGTTGTCTATAGTCTGCGGTGCAGCATCGGAGGAATGGGAGAAAATAACTTCGAATTCATGGAAGAATTATCAGAATAGGTGTACTCGTTGAAGATGCGAATATGCGCATAAGGAAAGTATGTGATGGTTCATGGGTTTTGATGAGTGCGGATTTGGGTTCGTTATGTTTTAAATAGAACTATTATTATTCCTAAGGCAAGTCCAGAGTAAATTAAAGGAAGTCATATCGGTTAGCAATAGTTGAATTAGCATGATGGTGGCAATGATCAGTTCCTTCAGCGTGTTGAGTTATACATGTGATTTGTGGCGGTACGTGCGAGGTTTAACGGCCGCCGTAATTGATTTTATTTAGAGGCATTCGAGTATTATGGCATGTTATGTGTAGATGGATCCCAGAAGAATTATGGTGGTTTAGACCACTACTCGAGGTTTTTATTTTTTGCGGTTATGGGAATTCAGTCACGTGTGGCAATGGTTCTCCTGAAATAAGTTAAGTGAAAGTTTTCTATATGATGAAATATGTACCCTATTGGTGGTTCGGGAGTTATGATTAAATTCTTGTACTCTTGCGTATTGGTATGTTGGGTGAAATGAGTGACATGTGAATTGGAGGTTGAGGATCAAGGTTGCAGTTGATGTCAACAAGAATGTCAAGAGATCGAATGAGCAGGGAAGAATTCAAATGTTTAGAGTGAGCTGGTATTGTCTTCAGGGTCACCTGAGATCGGTGTCCTGTGTAAGAGGCTTGGTGTACTGATTTTACGGATTCCCGATTCGCTTTATGGCATTAGTATGGTCGGTGGTATGGATGTGCAGACTTGCTACTTGAGAGGAATGGTCGTGGGAGCATGCCCCACGGGAGGGGGAGGGGGGTGTATAAGTATGACATGTCAGTCACTTGATTGTTAAAGATTGAAACCGAATATGGAGGTCATGGTAATATCGCAAGTGCGAGAGTTTATGCCTGAGAGGCATTGTATTCCTTGGGCTGTGGAAAATGTAAGTTCGTTTCGGATTTGACGGCTGTTCTTATGTGTCGTGAATAGGTCATTGTGGGTCCTTGAGGGGCTATTTATCCAAGCATGGTATGATCAGAATCGGTTTGAGGTCCGTGGATGGATCTAAACGTGAATGTGGGCCCTATATCAGGCCGGATGTGTTCATTTCAGCATAGCGTTGTTTTCCCAGGGGTCTTCGGGCCTTGGATAATATTTCTGTTGTTGGCCCTTCCGTGTAGTCTCTATTGTGCCATGTGGGTTATTAGGCGATTTGATTATTCACACTTGTATTGAGATCCCGTATAGTTGTGGTGTTATGTGAGCAGGATGGCTCTCGAGATGCAGATCATATATCGCAACTTAGTTGTGCTTGAGTTTTATTGCACGTGATGCTACCTGTGTCCCCGAGATTTGTATTATGCACTTGGCGTGCTTATGATTGATATTCGGGCACTTCATGAGTATAAGCGTTACGACTCGATGTGTGTTTTCTTTAGATTATTATGTGTGAATCGGGTGGCACGCCGCCACGGGTACATGGTTGGATCGGATGGCACGCCGCCACGGATATGTTGATTGGATCGGGTGGCACGCCGCCACGGGTATCATGGTTGGATCGGGTTGCACGCCGCAACGGTATCATGTGTGGATCGGGTTGCACGCCGCAACAATGTTTTATTGAGTACAGTTTCCCACATCTATTATTGTGTGTTTTGCTTCCCATTTCCTGCAGAAAGTTTATAACATCTTTTCGGTTATTTAAATTAGTTACTTGGGTTGAGTAGATCTTTCCAGAGTTCGTTTCCTTATGTATCACATTTGAGTTTGTAGCTTGTTGGCACATTGTGGCATCATATGAGAATTTTGGCAGTGTCTGAGGTGGCTTATTGCCTGAGCAGCTTGTACTGGGTGAGACGAGATTTTTGGACCTGG